CAAGAGCTGGGGTAACAAAGACCATAGACCATCACTTTTTTTAAAATTACATAAAGACTATGAGAGGCAGGAGACAGCAATTTATGGTGAGTGAAGCTAGAGTATAGACCTGTATTTTGCATGTTTCAATTCAAGTTTAATTTAGCTAGTAAGAAAATGGCATCAGTTATAAGAAAAAAAGTGGTCTAAGTTACCCCATTTTACGGTATATTACCATAAACATTAATTACCCTCAACTGGGGTGACTTCGGCCGCGCTCTTGATTTTGTTTTGCAAACAAAAACGGGGTCATAAATGCCGGAGTGACTTTGGCCATCGTTTATGACCCCGCTTTTGTTTGCAAAACAAAATAAAAAACGCGGCGGAAGTCACCTGGCGGCCCAAGTCACCCCAGTTGGCGGTACCGTATTATTGATGTGATATTACTGTATTATTGATGCGATATTACCATATCCATGTACATGCCATTGAGCATTTACAACAACCTTGTACACTGCAAGCTTGTGATGACCAATGATGCACTAATTTTTCGATAAGTGAACTTTTTTTTGCTCAGCAAGGCAAATGTAATCAATATTCTTTGTTTTTAATCAATTTTTTTTCTTAACTGGAGCCTTTGCTAATTGAGGTGCTAATTGAAGTTCTACTGTAAATGCGCTTTTGGGGGTGTCCCGAATAGCCCCGGGGGGGTGTCCTGAGTAGCTCGCCGTGCGGAAATGACCACCATTTTTTTTGGGGGGAATGAGATAGGCAAAATCTGTCAATTATGTTTGCAAGCCGACACCTGGGTGCAACTTTTATGTAAGTAAAATTTTTTAATATGGTGAATATTTTTTTTACTACAGACCTTAGCAGAAGTAACTTTTCAAAATATTGTTTTTCACCATTTTTTCAGGAATTTTTCAAAGCTAGTGAATATAGTATTTTTGAACTTCCTTTATACTACATAGATAGGAAAAATGTTGAAGTTTATCCCACTATATTTAGCTTTGCAATATTCCAATTAGTTCTGCTACTAAAACAGTTTTACGCTGTGTCCGAGGACTGTCCTGAGTTACCCCGCCCGTCCCAAGTAGCCCCGGTTGACGGTACATAGTTATGAAAATTACAGCCAGCTAAGAAGTTGAAATAGTACCAAGTAGTACAGATAGCGCAATAAAAACTGTCACCCTTCCATCCATTTTCAATGTTTTAGCGCGGTCAATTTCATTTGCATTTCAGATGCTGTAAATATGGCAATCTACTAAAGGAGGTTTCTGTCAACTACAGAGACCCTGATGAGTGTTGCCAGTCACTCGGCAATACGTTAGTCGCTATTTTGTGTTTGTAGCAGGTGTGTGTTTCTATGCGCGCTAGGCCCGATTTTTCAGTGAAAACACGTTTTTTTTAATAAACATCCCTGTGAAATTGCAATTGATTATAATGGCCCCTAAACACCTCTCACTTGCGGAAAAAGTGCACATTATGACATTACGTGAAGAAAAAGTGAGTATTTTAAACATTTGTGAACATACGGGGAGGAGCCGTAGGTCCATCTTGAGGGTCCTTGCAGCGCAAAAAAGTTGACACCTGGGGAGGTGCCAAAAAGGAAAGTGGGGTCTGTGAGATCTAAAAATACTTCAGAAATGACTGACAAGCTTATAAAGCGTGAAGTTACCATTAATCCAAAAATTACTGCAGTCCAACTGAAAAAAAAATCATCCAATGTTGCTTCAGCAGGTGTCTGTCCGTGTGCAGCATCGCTTGCAAAAAAGACCTAGGCCTACCTTGCAGGGTCGCGGCACATAAACCCCTTCTCAATGCCCGTATGGTGAAGCAAAGAATGGATTTTGCCCGTTGTTATCTTCATTGGAGACCTGAGCAATGGTTAAAAGTGATGTGGAGCGATGAGAGCACGTTTCAGATGTTTTCCAACCAAAGGGAAAGAGTCCGTAGGCCTAGTGGCTCTGATTCTTTTGCTCTCAAGTACACTTCTAAAACTGTGAAACATCCTGAATCTGTCATGGTTTGGGGCTGTTTCAGTGGCCTAATGGGTAGAGGGGGTTTGTATTTCCTCCCAAAAAACGTCACAATGAATGGTGATAGCTACATTGAGTGTTTAAAGGATCATTTGCTGCTGCCCTATGAAATTCATGGAACATCAATTTTCATGCATGACAAGGCTCACTGCCACATGTCCAATAAAGTGAAGACTTTCCTTGCAGAGAAGGGTATTGAGGTCCTGGAATGGTGTGGAAATAGCCCTGATCTTAATCCCACCGAGAATGCATGTAAACACATGAAGAGTAAGCTGAGAATTGCGAATTTGACATCGCTTCCAGAATTAAAAAAGGAAATCAAATGTGTCTGGATTCAGGAGATGGACGGTGGTCAATATTTTGAAAACTTAGCCAGGAGTATGCCAAATCGCCTTGAGAGGGTCCTGAAGGCAAAAGGTCAAATGACTAAGTATTAAAACAAATTTTAAGGTTATTATTTATTTTTTATTTCACCTGTATTAGGCTTTGTAGATGAATTTCATTTTTTATTTTTTAGGTGCCAGTTTTTATTGCGCTTACTGTAGTAGCTTAGCCCCTAGGCTGACTAGCGCTTGACTAAGTAAGTAGACCTACAGGGTAGGTGCAAGTAAACATTTTCATGTAACAATGTGTTTTTAACAGTAAAATCATACTGGTTAGTAAAATATTTGCAAAAAACGTCTCAACTTTGAAATATGAACTGAAAGCCTAAGCAGGAACTGGGAAGGACCTGTCACACACTGAAACTGAATCACTAGTACATACTAGCTCATAATAGTACTACTGCATGACCAAATGTCATTGCAGCTGCCATTCACACAGGCGTTGGACTCATCTTCTTGTAACTTCCACTATTACTATGCAACTATTGGCAAAGCTCTGAAATTTAGAAAGCATGCTCAGAGAACTGTTAGCTTGTTTTCTCACCATCTTCCATTAATGGCCCAATATGATATCAAAGTTTTTTTTTAGCATAAATTGGCACCTTTTGCGAATTTCAACCAAGCAGGTAGACGACAGAAATTTCTCAAGAGATAGTGAGAAGCAAGGGCTGCATTATTCATAGGACTAATTTTAAAGCTAAAATTTGTCTTCTTCATCACCTGAATACACCCATAATTGACCAATAGTGAAGAGTCAAATGTATAACATTGAATACTAAAATAAAAAAATTTTGCAGGAAAGCTCTAATTGCAGCTTGAGTAGAAGATATATTTCACACCAGTGAAAATGAGTACAATTGAGAATAAACACAAACGTTATTGTCTCATTCAGAAGTACCTATCTTCTGCCCAATTTTCCAGAATGTTACCCAAGTCTCTGCCTAAAAGTATACCGGTACTGAGATTCTAAAATTTGTAATTGCTAATACACTGCACCAAAAATGGGAGCATAAATTTGGGATTACTATCAAATATAGGCATCTTACCATTCTTGGCAAGAATACAAACCTAACTAAAAAAAATTCGGCAGATGCCATTCATGAATGAGAGAGAAACTCTCATGCTCATGGTCGATTTCACCTCAATCTGGAATTTGAGCAGATTTTTCCAAAAATATGTGTCTAAAAGAGATTGTATCACAGGCAATTTTTGAAAATTGGAGGCAAAAATGTGTCATTATCCTTATTCCTAATTTTTGCCATAGAATTTTATGATGAGTTTTATCATCTGTATTTTATGATAATTTTTATCATTTTCTGATCAAGTGATGAGTGTTCAGTGCACAATTATGGTGCTCTGAGATGAATAAGTTACCTTGTGTAACTTGTAATTTGTTTTTGCCTAAACAATGTTCTGTGACGCAGCTGGCATATTATTTTATTACTGGGATATGCATGAGCTACTTTTCATTCCCTTAAAAAGGCATTTTGTAATTTTTTTGCTTAAATTAGCTGTTGTCAGTCCTTTGGATGTTTAGACACTTTCTATAGTTTCTAATATTGGGAATATAGGCTCAAACTGCTAATTTTAAATGTACAATTATTCAAGATCTTATACATTGAAATTTGGTATTGATGTGTTGTTTCTTTTAATTTCAGTCTTGTCACGTGTAGCTGAAGGTAGACGGCTGTTCTCGCCACCATGAAGAACCTTACGGTGGACCAGATTTCCACTGACCATGTGACATTGTTGGCCCAGGAGTATTGGTCACCCAGCACTGCTGGCTCACACAAGCCTTTCAATCCCCAAATTATTGATGAAATTTATTGTCAGGAAATTCGAGAAAGCAACTTCTCGAGTCGCCGCATTGTTGTGCTCGAGCTCAGCCAGTACTTAGAGCAATACTTGTGGCCTCATTATTCGTGGCAAGCCTCATCTTATCACATGTTTTCCGTTGTCGTCATCATCAATGAAAAATTCCGTGAGAGGATCCCAGCCTGGGAATCATTTGAACGAAACCCTGAACCATTCAAAGCATTCTTCAGACACCTGTCCTGTGCATTACTAGACGATACAGACCAATTTTCGCTGCGGGAACAGACAAACCTGACCATTTTCCTCAACCACATCTACAACACAATTGAGAGTGACCTGATCAGGGAAGAGATCAGCCGTACAATATCGTACAATATTCTTACATGTTTGTCCGATGGACAACTTCAGAACATGTTAAAAGAATTTCCATTGCTCGCCAAAGGCCTCAAAAGAGCTGAAAAGTCCCTAAACAAGCTTGAGGGACAGGAAAAACAACAGTACGAGTTTGATACTCGTTTCCTCTACAGACTGCTTAACAAGTTTCTGAACATTTTGTCAGCTGTAGGTCCCTGTGATACTTCAGTTAGCAAAGACCTCTTGCAGTATTGTGAGAGATTCATTGAGCTCACCATCGACCTGGAGTCACAATTGCCAACGCGACGTTATTTTCACGCTCTTCTAGAATCCCTTAATTTCGTGGTTAGATGCCAAGTTTCTTGCCTTGCCAATCGGAGGGAGGGTAAGCTTTTTGCACAACTTGTGTATATCCTGAAAGTTTTCATGGAGTTTGAAATCAACGGATTCACTGGCGAAGCTCTCACCGAAGTCAATGTCATGAAGCAGCACTACGCTAAAATCCGGGACCTACAGTTGATTATCTTCAACAATTTTCAAGACATGAATGAATTTTGCTTCCTGAATGTTGCTTCGGTCGACACAGCTGAAAAATTGCGGCATTATTTAGGCCAAATGTCTGACAAAGATCTTCAAAAATTGTGTGACCTGTTGCACATTTTACCTCAGGAAGAAAACCCACTTCATCAAGATCGCGAATTCTTGACCGCTGTGTTGGTAGCGCGATATCAACGTCGCCCCTCGCAACTAGAAGCTATCAACCGAATGCCTCTGTACCCGACAGAAGCAATCATCTGGGATGACAACATTGTGCCTTCCGAATATTTCTCGGGTGACACTTGTTTGGCTTTGCCCAAGCTCAACCTTCAATTCCTTACGTTGCACGATTACTTATTGCGTAATTTTGACCTCTTCAGGTTAGAATCTACGTATGAGATTCGTCAGGACATTGAGGATATTGTTTCTCGCTTGCGGCCGTGGCAGTCAGAAAGTGGCAGCATTCTTTTCAATGGATGGGCAAGAATGGCCCAAGTAATAGTAAACTTTGCCGTGTGTGAAGTGGCTCAGCCTAATGTTGGAGAAGACAAACCATCAAGAGTGCGCGCCGATATTACTGTTAATTTGAACGTGCGCCCTGAAATAAAAAACGAATGGGAAGCGCTACGAAAACACGACGTCTGTTTGTTGCTCAGTATCCAGAATCCGAAAGAAATGCCTGACTCCGATGGCATGTTTCCTGAAGAATATGGTGTCAGGTGCGTTCGAGGTTGTGAAATTGAAGGAATGCTCGATGAAAACGGCCGTGTCATCGAAGAAGGTCCCGAACCGAAACCTGAAATCAAGGGCGATACCAGAACATTTCGCGTCTGGCTCGATTGCAATCAGTACAAAAAAGATCTCGACGAGTCGTCTAATGACGATGTGTATCAAACCTTCAATGTGCTGATGCGCAGAAAACCAAAGGAAAACAATTTCAAAGCTGTTTTGTCCACTATCAGAGATTTGATGAATACGAAATGCGTCGTACCAGACTGGCTAGAAGACATAATTTTAGGCTTCGGTGACCCTGCGTCTGCTCACTACACTAAACGCAAAAATGCTGCACTCAAGCTGGATTTCAACGACACTTTTCTTGACTTGAATCACCTGCGAAACTCCTTCCCATCGGCGCAAGTTAAACCTCTAAACGGGGCCGAGTTCCCTCCATTCAAACTGTCGTTTAAAAAACTTTCGTTAGACAAGGACAACATCATGGAAACTGATGCCCCTATTTTGGAAGAAATCACTGTTGAAAGTTACACTATCCCCAACAGAGGACCATATCCGTACACTGTGCCCAAGAAAAACTGCGTACTTTTCACCCCCACGCAGGTGGAGGCTATTCGTTCTGGTATGCAGCCTGGCCTTACAATGGTCGTTGGACCTCCTGGCACTGGCAAAACAGATGTGGCTGTACAAATTATCTCTAACCTCTACCACAACAATCCTAACGATCGCACACTGATCGTCACTCACTCCAATCAGGCCCTCAATCAGCTGTTTGAGAAGATCATGTGTTTGGACGTCGATGAACGGCACTTGTTGCGTTTGGGTCACGGAGAAGAAGCGTTGGAGACCGAAAAAGATTTTAGTCGATATGGACGTGTAAACTACGTTCTGAATAAGCGGCTGGAACTGCTAGATGAGGTAACTCGACTCAAAGAATCGCTCGGGGTGCGAGGTGACATGGGTGCATCGTGTGAGACGGCTGGGTACTTTTTCTTGCATCACATCTTATCCGGGTGGGAGAAATTCCAGAGTCTTGTGATGCTAGCGCCGGGAAATCCAGTTGCTGTTTCGGAAGTGAAAGAACAGTTCCCCTTTCATGTGTTCTTCAGTAACGCTCCTCAACCTCTTTTCAAGGAACGCAGCTACGAAGAAGACATGGAGATTGCAAGGGGCTGTTTCCGTTATCTTCAGAACATTTTCGTTCAATTGAAGGAGTTCAAAGCTTTTGAAATGTTGCGGAGCGGCCTAGACCGAACGCGCTACTTGCTCGTCAAAGAAGCCAAAATTATCGCTATGACGTGCACACACGCTGCACTCAAGCGCCACGAGCTCGTCGAACTTGGCTTCCAGTTCGACAACATCCTTATGGAAGAGAGCGCTCAGATTCTGGAAATTGAGACCTTCATTCCACTGCTTCTGCAGAATCCCGAAGATGGTCGAAACCGCCTGAAACGTTGGGTAATGATTGGAGATCACCACCAGTTGCCGCCTGTCATCAAAAACCTGGCATTCCAGAAATACAGCAACATGGAACAATCTCTCTTCTCAAGGTAAGGTTTATTCATACTATATTGTTACTGACAAATGTATCGTGTGATTAGGCCAAGCACGTCCAAATTTTTTGAGAGATCCCTATTGATAATCACTAATGAAATGCGAGTTGTTTTTTCCTATTCTTTACCCTATTTTATTTACCGACAATTTTCATCAATATTCTACCCAACTCAAATGAAAGCTTCTCCATTTACCTTGTTTTACATTTGATTGAATGTATCGTTTACTGCTTCTTGTCTTACCAGGTTCGTGCGGCTGGGGGTGCCCACTACACAGCTCGACGCTCAAGGCCGCGCGCGGGCAACGCTGTGCGAGCTCTACAAGTGGCGCTACCGCAACCTGGGCAACCTGCCACACGTCGTGTCTGGTGCGGAGTATGTGATCGCAAACCCTGGACTCTACTACGACTACCAGCTCATCAACGTTGAAGACTTGGACGGTAAAGGAGAGACCGAACCGCGCAAGTATTTCTATCAGAACCTTGCAGAGGCGGAGTACGTCGTGCACCTTTACATGTACATGCGACTCATCGGGTATCCCGCCGAGAAAATATCTTTGCTCACCACCTACAACGGGCAAAGAGAATTGTTGCGCGATGTGGTGGAACAAAGATGTGCCAGGTATCCCATGCTGGGACGTCCGCACAAGATCTCTACTGTCGACAAATATCAAGGTCAACAAAATGACTACATATTGCTGTCACTGGTGCGTACGAAGGCTGTTGGTCATTTGAGGGACGTGCGTCGTCTCATAGTGGCCATGTCCCGCGCTCGCTTGGGTCTTTACGTGTTTGCCCGAGCGTCGCTTTTCAGTAATTGCTATGAGCTTCAGTCTGCTTTTGCCCTGCTGTCTCGCCGTCCTCTTGAGCTTCACACGGCTCCTTGGGAGCGTATGCCGGGTACTCGAGCCTCAGGTATGTTGCCTGAAGAGCCTCCTGTAGTCATCCAAGACGTGACGCACATGAGTAACTTGGTGCACCAGCTGTACAAGGAGGCGTGCGACAGTCACATGCAAGAACAACATGCACGCCTCAGAGAGCAAAGCCTCGCAGCGCCCGGCACGCTCCAGCGGAGAGAACCTCAATCAAATACAGGTGCCAAGTATGACTCTGATCACGAAGAAGAAGATGACACAGTTAGAATTATTAATGAAGTTGACGAATAGGTCCAAACTAAATTTGTTTAGTTGTTGGTTATAACCAAAACTTGATTAGGCTTGAGCTTCAATAGTTTTAATTTTCAATGATGGTTTTATAGATTGTTTACAAATGACGAATCCTCAAATTATCCATTCGAGAATTAGAGTTTGAATTAACTTTTGAGAAATAAATACAAATTTGCAAAAAACTTTTGAATAGGTGAATGCATGTTTTCGTAATTGAAGTAACGTGTTCAATAGTTCCTGATTTTCAAATTGGGGAAATATGTCCACTGTCGATAATCTAGTTTTGTTTTTATTGTATACTATAACGTCAATCATGACCATTTTTGCTAAGTATACAGTAAAGCTTTTCACTCCAGTTTCTGTTGTCCTTGATGGTTTAACGCAATTGTTTGTTGGAATAACCTGAAATCGGTACCGCAGTATCGCTCATGTTTGAAGTAATACGCTCCTTCGTCCAGCAAGCTACCGACCGTCAATGCCTATAACTTTGCAACAACACTTACGCTGCCCGCAGCGTTGCCAGATGGTATATTTCTACACCAGATTTCACAAATCTGGTATTTTCAGGTGTCTGGTATGAATATTTTAGATCTGGTATATTTGCCTAAATCTTGCATTTTCTGGTATTTTCTGGCTTACTGCAAATTTACTGCATTAAGTTCCACCTCTGAAGTTAGAACTTCCTCCAGCGTAGGCGTGGATTATATAGATTACTTTCAGAGCGGCGCGACTAGAGCTTTTCCGCCATTTTTGGACCCGCAAGTTTACCGCTTGATGAAATAACCCCAATCTTATTGTTAACATTTAACAAAAGTGCTTAGTACAATATAAGCACAAGAGTGATGATCCTTGATTGGTTACTGATCAGTGATGATATGGCCTAGGACGACATGGCTTTTCACCTATATGAAAAACGAGCAACGAAATAAAATTTCAGGTAGTTCTATATTCTATCCATATGTAGGTTCAATAATACGTTCTTTAAATTGGCATTCTACCATATAGGTTGGTTATTATTTTTCAGTTTAATAATCATGATATTAGCAATCAAGACGAGATTCTCAACGAATAGGAATTCGAAAAATTATTGCAGGCAACGCAGGGCTAACCTGCTGCTATTAGTTCAAAATTCGTGCAATTAATGGATGATAGATAATAACTACAACGCGTGAACTCAAACAATGAGTTTTTACGAGTTGGCAAAGTTGCATTGCAATGTGTTGAGTTTAGTAGATTTTATAGACTGAAGTGTTGACTCTGACCATTTTGCCATGAAGACACCTTGGACAAATCTTCAGGGTTTCCCCAAAATTATTAGTTGAAAAGTAAAATTGAGGCTAATTCTTGAACACTTCCTCCCGTGGGGCCACATCGAACAAGTCGTCAGAGTCTACCATAAATTGAATTTAAAAAAAGAAGAAGGGTTGATTCAAGCTACGGTACAGGACTGCCTAAAAATGACAGCTGGATGGTCAAAAAGGAGTCAAATACCTACTTACATTTCTGCACCACCAAATTAGTGCCGATGTGAAAGGCTTGTATTTATATTTTCGAATTTTATAAAGCTGAGGATTATATGTTTCCGATAGATTTCAATCGTTTGAATTTGTTGTCTTCGAAGAATTGTTACGTTCGTGTAAATTTTCCCAGCTATAATATTTGCAAAATTATTACCTAGCTCGTGCAAACATTATTTATCGCTACGTAGGGACTGATTTGATATCAGTTGGAAAAGACGAGAGTGCCGTTAGAATCTTTATCTGAGGCAAGACTTGATGCTAGTTGATGGATACCTCGTAGCAGCAGGCAGTAGACGGTAGACTGGCATTTTCTTTTAAATTGACCTCAACTTGAAGAAGTATGGAGCCTACAAAAATATCGGTCTCTGAAACCATTTTGAAGGATGAAGCAAAAATCGACATTGTAGCCAAACTACGAAATCTTATGACTGACGATGCAGCAATTACAACTTTTATGCATGATGAATCGCTGCCAAATCTACCAGTCCCTTCACTTCCTCAGACGATGGAAAGGTGAGAATTTTTTTTATGTAGTGAGTCTGTCACTGAGACTAATTGTCAGTAATTGAACAATGGCAACAATGCAAGAGAATAGGTAAATTCGAATTTTTTTAGAATAAGATAATTTTACAATTCATCTGTCATTGAGTTCAATAGTTTCATAGGTATGTTTTTTTTTTCAGGTATATTAAGAGTTGTACTCCTTTTCTCAATGATGCAGAACTTGCATTCACTGAAAAAGTTGTACAAGATTTTATGTCTAAGGAGGGACCAGTCTTGCAAGCTAAGCTGTTACAGAGAGCCAATCAGCATAAAAACTGGGTAAGTAAGTTATTTTCAATATTGTATTGGCATGCATTCTCACATTCTCAAATTTCTGGCATAAAACTAAAGCTTGTGAGTAGGTATTTATTATTATTCACAATTGATGAATTGATGAATTTTGTATTCAGTGTTTTAAACTCACCTTACTCAGTCACTGTCTTGAACTTGAAGTTGAAGACATACCTATTTGTAAATTGTACCATAAATATCTTCATTGCATGAGCTAAAAAAACCTATAGCCTAGCATGCCATCCATTATTGAGTGCAATAATTCATCTTATTCATGTATATGGGAAATGTCCAACTTAACCCTTTAGCAGGCAAGCATTGAGATTATTAGTGAGATATCCAGAAATTATAATTTCAGAAACCATTTCAAGAAAGTAAGATGTATTTAACAAAATATTTATTTATAGGCATTTCCAAAAATTTCGAGTATTGAAGGTTTAAATCGTACTCGAAGAATTCGTTAAATGCGGTCAGTACACAAAATTTTTCTTAATAATCAAAATTTAGTTGATGCAAATGATGGAATACTGGAATAGTGACATAACAATTTAATTTAATTCAATTTATTAATTAATTCGGCGACAGGCCACATCAGGCCTACACTTCAGCGCCAACATCATTATGTTATGTTATGTTAATTCAATCAAGTTACCAGGATCAGGATTAATAATAAATATATATTAATACTTTCACCTTATGAAAAAATGTGGAAAGAAAGTCAATTCCATCATCCAAGTCAAAACTTTTATTTAAATGCTCATATTTTAATTTGTGGACATTGCAGGTGGTGATGCTATGGATGGAACAATAGTCAGATAATTAGTGATTGACAGAGGCATTATGAGGACGCCTCATAAACAAGCAGGAAGCCGTGTTGGGGCTTTTTGTAAGGTGATTTCAAGTGATCACATATGGTAACTTGCGCATGAAAGGGTTAATACTGGAACCTTGCGGCACTTATCCAAACTCCAAAGTTTCAACAGGCCCAAAGTATTATAATTTGGATAACTTTGGAAATGTAAATTGATCATGCACTTCTGTTGACTCTGATAATTCATCTGGTGCATATCTTGCAGCTCCAAAATTTCAGGAACTCTAGAAAACCTTCAGTTTTTTTAAACAACCCTTATTTTTTATCTTCTGGCAGCTGGAGGATTGGTGGATGACCTATGCCTACCTAAACTTCCGCCAACCTTTATTGCCTCTTCTGAACATTGGGGGTCCTCAAACTCTGCACCTCTCATCTTGGCCCCCATCCTATGATAATGCTATCTTTGTAAGGCCAATTTGTTTGTCTTGTGTCTTAATTTATTGTTTTGAACACGGTGTTCTATGAAGATATAAGGATTCACATATTTTACACTTATTATATAAATATATGTCCATATATTTCATAGCTCTAATATTCCATTTCATCTCTACATAGGTATTTGTAGTATTTCAATTTAAGATATATGGTAGCTCAAGATTAAAAGCATTCTTTGTTTTTTAGTTTATTTTTTTAGCACTTAAATAGTCTTGCAGTCTCTAGTAGCCCCTATTTGATGGTACTTTTAAGATTGAAAGTTAAATTTTGCAAGTCAATCATTTATTACAACTTTGAAACTTGGTGAAAATTTAATTGAACTTGACTAAAATTTGTAACTTTGATGCTTGCTAAAACTGAATTCTATTGAACCTAACATCTTTACATCATATCCCAGTATGCTGCACTCTTTGCCTACACTGGTCTTTGCTTCTACCAAATTCTACGTGAAGAAAGAATTCATCCTCAGTCATCAGTAAAGGTACAATGCCACTTGAATATTCTCAGAGTTTTTGCTTTTAGTACACACATATCATGTGTAATTTGGTATATATATATATTTTTTTGCAACTGGAAGCACTTCTTATACTTCAAGGTGATGATTGTTTTACATAATGAAAAGCTACAATAATTGACATGTTTGTGGAACAGAAGTTTTGAAAACCTAAGATATGAAGTCCTTGCATTAATATTTTTTTTCCAGGGTAGCAAGCTGAGCATGGAGCAGTTCAGACGTTTCTATAACACCTGCCGTATCCCAGGAGTTGGTAGTGATGTCCTCTTCAGTTGCTGGAAGACAAGCAAGTACCTTCACTTTGTTTCCATTGAGGTAGCAAGCTTCTTTCTTGGAAACGAATATAAATTTATGGATGACGATCAATTTTTAATAAGCTATATGGAAGGCAGTTTTTAGAGGTATGTGAAAAATATTAGAAAACCAGAGAGAGGTATGTTTGTTTATAGTGAAGAATTTTTAAGAGGGCTTGAGTTCAGATTGATGAATAAAGTTTGTTCACTGAATATTCTGGTTTGTAAGTGATCTAATCAAGGTATACTAATGATAATGTTCTCTGCAACAGAGCAAAAGTAGCTTAATTGTTTATTTCAATGTTTAGGATTAAAATCAATGAAACTGGCTGAATATTTTTGAAGATGTTTTTTAGTTTTAACATGTTGAGTTGATCTGCTCACCAGAACGAGAGGGCGAGTGCCCCAATCACGTGGTGGTGCTGTGTAACGGCCACGTGTGGTTTCTTCAGCCTTGGGATTCACAAGGTAAACCTCACTCAGCTTATCTTTTCATTTGTGAGTCAAGTTCTAATCTCTAAATTTGTTTGGTTTATTAACTCTTCTCAAGTGATTTAAATTATTGCACAATTTTTGTTCAAGATTTACTTAATCCCTTGTCCAAAATATTATATTTTACTATTAACTTCTTGGTATGAAAATGAAAACGTGAGTAATATCCACATTTACTGTAGAGACAAGTAAAAATGCATCAGGTTAGAGGATGATGATTGCACAATAATAACATGATGCTGGTCTAGCCACTGTGCTGGCCACCATGCCACAAGACGCCGTTCTTTGTCGTGGTTAAGCCGACGCCGTAACGTATCGGCGCCGGGCCGGCGCTGATCTATGGTTCACGCGCTAGGAAATTAGTTTAAACTTATTACAAAGTGAGAATTTCCCTGGGCAGGTGAGGCTCTGAACGTTTCAGAGTTGATGGCGCAGCTCACGAGCATTCGGGAGCAGAGTGACAGGCTGGGCCCTGGGCCTGGAGTGGCAAGCCTCACTTTTACCCCTTCTCTGTCATCAAGACTCCTTTTTACTTCCTTCGACGTTATTCCCCCTCCCAGCATTGACATGCCCTCCTAATATCTTGATTAAATCAAAGCCAGTTTTTTTAATCTAAAATTATCGTGACGTCTGGTTCAAACGAATTTCGAGGGCACGTGACACATAAATTTCATAGAGAGCAAAAAATAAAATTTGCTCCCTCAGACAAACTCGCGATCATTGCAATGCACGCCTCACCTGTTCTCTGATATCCCATGCCATTACCCTCTCGCCTACAAACATAATCACTTATTACACCAGTGATTCCCAAACTTTTTCAGGCTGGCGCCCCCTTTGGCTCCCCAGTGAATCTCTAGCGCCCCTTCCCCCGACAGGCGCACATAAAAACAAACGCCTCTTTCTTGATATTTATTACGCTGCAATTTTAAAAGAGAAAGGTTAACAGAAATTCAAGACGGCTTGGACAAATTTACGGCCGGATTCGTGGCCGGATTCGTGGCCGGTCTCGCGGCCAATCTCCAAATTCAGTGACCAAGGAATATCTCCCAAACTAATGAACGCAGCTCGATAAAACTTGGAACACGTATTCATTAGGACCTAACGGTGATGTTTAGCATGTAAAAAATGTTTAAATTTCACCGTCATTCGGGAGTTATATGGCGATATGGGCCGAAATTTGCAGTGATCAAAGAATTTTTTCCAAACTACTGAACAGATTTGAACGAAATTTTCAATATAAATTCCAAATTACCAAACGGTGATTTTTAGCTCGTGAAAATTTATTCGAGTCGGAGTCATATTCTGCATGTGTTGTGTACAAATCGTCAAAGAAACTTCTGACTTCAACCTAGCGGACTGCCGCTCCCCTACTGCCGCTTTCTTCCTCACCGCCCGTCATAACTTTCCATCGCCCACAGGGGGGCGATATCGCCCATTTTGGGAACCACTGACTTGCACCATGACCCCTCTTTCCCTCTCAAACGCCTCACATTAACATTTCTTCACAGTTGTCTTCACAAACCTACCACACGTGACCAACACACATCCTCTCCCACTCACCATCTTCCCTTGTATGTACAACAGAACGTCCATCCACACCCAGAGTCTGTGCCCTCTGACTATATACCATAATAACAAATATATTCACGAGTAACAAATATATTCACGAGTAACAAATATATTCTCGTAATAACAAATATTTCAAAAAGTCATGTTCAAAATAGAAAAGAAAAAGCTACAATAAACTAGTTATTTTAGCACAATTAATAAATATTTTCTTGTTAGATAGCACCTGCGATACGTTACTGACTGTAATGAAAGTTGTGACCAGGCTTGTTGGGAGAGCGTGTGTGGCGACATCAGCAACCGCTGGACGGACAAGAGCCTCAGCATCATCGTCACACGCAGCGGCTACACGCTCAGCAATAATGATGTGAGTGATGATGATGCTTGATGATATTGGTTATGTTGTGGGAGCTCTAATGACGTCTAAATTCGGTAAAAGCCTAAACTCTATTTTCATCTATTGATTTTGCAATTTTTGTAAGAAATATTCTTGAAATTATTGTTTAAAATACAACTAGATTCTTCTAAAATAAATAGATTTGTTTCATCCCTACACTTGGTTGCGTTTTGAGCGATTGTTCCCGCGAACGTCATTGAATGTGTTACTTACTATATTGTGTTTGCGAGTTTACGATTTAGTTTGACAACTAAAATATTAATGTCATTGATGTGCAGCACACACCCTACGACGCAATGGTGCTGGTGGTGCTGATGCACTTCCAGCACCGCCTGCTGGAGCTGCTCGACGTGCAGCAGCTGAGGGCGGCGCCCGTACGGCTGCACCTCGCGCCGCCACAGCTGCTCAAGTTCGACCTCGACCCCAGCCTCGTTGAGGCCATCGCTGCTGCACGTGTCTACAGCAAGACGCTCGTAAGCTTACTGCAACATTATTATGAATATAATTTACTTGTCAAACAGTTAAGTTAAACTTAAGTTACCTGTTGAAGTTAGTTGACTTCAGCCTCATCGAGGCTGTAACTGCCGCTCGTATGTAGAGCAAGCTACTCGTAAAGTTATTGCAACATTGTTCTGAACATTAGTTACTTGTTGAGCAGTACGTTGACTGCTCAACACCTCGCCGCTATTTAGCACGAGATGCACTAACCTAACAAGCGATTCTTATATCATCTAATCAACTATGTACTACAATCAAAAGAATGTATTTTTGAACTAGCAAAATACCGTTTCAAGATTCAGGAATCTGTCAGCGCTCTAAAATTGGCTGTTAGTTTTTCACCGTTCAAATCAGATTTCGAGCGCAATGCGTGCAATAATAGCATTTTTATTCATATTTTGGCTTTTTTGGGTAGTTTTGTTGTTTAGGTTCTTGTGCATATTTTCGATTACTCGAAAAAATTAATAATCATGATAAATTTGATTCATTTATGAATCTCTCATATGATTTTGATCATTAGTTTTTAGCGCATTTTCTCATTTATGAAAAAAATGCACTATTGTGCTCGCCATGTCCGTCTGTCCGTCCGTGACTTCACGTTTTCGTCGACGAGAAAATGCGCTCTCTGTCACTCACTGCTAAAATACCGTTTCAAGATTCATGAATCTGTCAGCGCTCTATAATTCGCTGTTAGTTTTTCACCGTTCAAATCAGATTTCGAGCGCAATGCGTGAAATTGAGGCTTTTTTATATTTTGGGTAGGTAGTTTTTTTGTTTAGGTTCTGGTCCATATTTTTGATTACTCGAATAAATTGATAATCATGCTAAATTTGATTAATATATGATTTTGACATGTAGTTTTTTATTATTCATCCGCGTACTCGAGTCATTTATTTAAAGACATTGCCGTGCGTTGGGCTTCACTCACACATAATAATTATTTATTAGAGCTTTCAATCTTCTTCGCTATTACTATTACCTACCACGATTCAATTACATCGGACCTGTCTATGACTATGTACAGACTGACAACATCGAAGTGTCATTCGACCAATACTTCAAGTTTGGCAAAAATTGGATGAAGGAGAAGAAAGTCCACCCTGATGCTCTCGTTCAGATGGCCTTACAGCTCGCCTACTACAGAACCTACGGAAAGTAGGTGCTTAGTTTCATCCCTGCTTATAACAAAATTGTTGCCGTGAATTAGCAATTAATTTTTCGTTAAATTTAGTAAACCTTATGTGGAATATCCGGTCGCTTTTTCCCTATTATTATATGTTTAACCATGTTAAGTGTGCAGTATTAAAACGTGAAATCGTGATTGGAGAATTTTGCCTTTGTGGTATCTACGAAGTGGGCATCGCCTCTAAGGTGGTCTTACCTGGGCTTGCAACTGGGTTGGGTTTGCTGCTGCGTTTCAATTGTTAAGGATCACTCAAATTTTCAATGATTATTAACTTGTTTGAGAATTCGGTAATACATTTGCAAACTAGTTATATTTTACAGGATGGCGCCAACGTACGAGACTGCTACGACTCGCCAGTTCTACCACGGCCGCACGGAGACTGTAAGGAGCTGTACGCCGGCCGCTAAAGCCTTCGCTATTACCATGATGGACCCCTCAGCATCGGTCAGTATTTTGGCAACACTGTTTGCGACTGTGAAATTATTTGTTTATTATTCGAATCACTCCTTTTAATGAGACGAGTGATGTACGATCGCCTGATTAACCTGTTAGCTACTGACAAGAACTTTAAGTTACAGGGTTTTTAGATGCAATTTGACAACTGTTTCATATATTTGTAGATACATCTTTGCATCTTTATGTTCCTGTGGGTATGACCGAAAATGATCATCTTCAAAGATGCGACCATTTCACTGAAATGCTCAATATTGTCTCAGGTTTCGACTAAGGCACAGGCTGTGCGGGCGGCGTGCGCAGGCCACGACGCCCAGATGCGCGAGTGTCAGGCGGGCCAAGGCGTTGATAGGCACCTGCTTGGCCTCTACATCACCGCTCTCGAGGCCGGCCAAGACGTGCCCGCCATCTTCACCGACCCTGCCTTCGTCAAGTCGTAGGACGCTTTCAGTTTTTTGTCTAGGCTTATATTTTGACTTATAGTGCAAATCAATTTTTCTCTCGTCTTTACAACATCTGTTAACCAGCAGATGCGTTTGAGGATTCGGATGAAACAATGCACGTTTGACGATAGTTAATGAGTAATTTCGTGCAAGAGTCTGTTATGTTATTTATCTATACACTTGTAGTTAGCAGGAAATGCTTGGTAACTGCAGCAAATGCTTGGTAACTACAGCAAATGCTTGGTAACTGCAGTAAATGCTTGGTAACTGCAGCAAATGCTTGGTAACTGCAGCAAATGCCTGGTAACCACAGCGAATTTTTAACCGAATGACGAGTCGTATGACGGTTTTATTATTCGTATAAATGGAATGTTGTGTTCACCAGCGGTGGTGGAGGCAACTACGTACTGTCGACCAGCACTCTGGGCTATACGGACTGCACGGGAGGCGTGGCCCCGATGGTGCAGCACGGCTACGGCTGCTTCTACACCATGCTACCAAACCGGTCAGTTATTGTTATAACTACCATACTACTATTCCATGCTACCTGAACGGTCTACTCACCTCACACTCGCCTACTGCTGTCACTGGCTTTAACCATTCTTGCTTCAACTCTCTCATCTCACACTCTGGTATAACTCATTTCCTACTCTGGCAGTAACTATTCCTCCTCACAATATTGCTAATAACTCATCTTGTACTCTTCTTGTGCTCAATACTGTTCTAACCCTCTCGTCTCTAACTCTTGTGTTTCAGCTCTCTCTCATCTATTCTTGCTATCATTCTCTCTGCATATCCTCATGTCCATCTAAACTTCTTCTTACTCTCCTGTTCGTCAGTCCATCTCCAGTTATGTTTATGCTTTCATTCTCTTACATTTGACACAATTTCTTTTACTCTGCTGGCCCTTCCATAAATTTTCGCATCGATGCCTTGCATTTTATTTGCTTCAGTTGTTTACTGCCATTCTTTCTATTTTTTCGCTGCCTTTTTCCCCATACTCTCATCTCACCCATTGGTCTTTACGCCTACAGAAACCATCAACTTTTTGAATCATAAAGCACTCAATCAATTTATTTGAACTGCAAGATCTTAGCCAAGTACTTACAATTTTTAACGCTTAAAAATCCCTTAGTCCTCCTTAGCTTAGTCCAGCGTTGTGTATTTGTTATGATCCTGCGACCTCAATGCCTAGTCGCGAAATTTTAGTTGTAGTGTTCATATGTACATAGTATTCCGTACCATAGTCTATACCAGTACGTTGCTTTGCACTAGTAGCATCGACTATTTTCTGAACTGGCTTGGCTTTTATGCGTTCAAGACCTAGAACTGCTGTTCTCCTTGAAAGTATCCTGAAATTAGTTATTTATGCGTAATACATTTCACATATGAAGATATTCTATTGATGTAGTCGTTATTTATCAGTTTGTGTTAGTTTTATTGTTTCAGAATGTTGCGTTCCTGTTTAATATTTTGTAGTTATCTTATTTTTCAAAATGTTACGCCATGTTCAAAATTATTTTGAAGTAGTATTCTTATGTTCCAGAATGTTGCATTCTTGTTTAATTGTATTTTATAGTAGTGTTCTTATATTTCAGTGTGTTGCATTCTTGTTTAATGTTATATTGTAGTAGTGTTCTTAATGTTCGAGTGTTTTGCGTTCTTGTTTAGTGGTATTTTGTAGTAGTGTTCTTATGATTCAGAATATTGCGTTATTGTTTAATGGTATTCTGTACTAGTTTTCTTATGTTTCAGAATGTGGCATTCATTTTTGATGGTATTTTGTAGTAGTGTTTCATGTTTCAGTATATTGCCTTCTTGTTTAATGGTATTTTGTAGTACCTAGTCTTAAGAGTGCCTTGTAGTAACTCAGTTGACGTTTGCAGGCTGTACCTGTTCGTGTCGTCCTTCAGAGATGGAGGTGCTGTGCCAGCCCCTGAGTTTCTTGCCATATTCAAGCGCTCTTTGGATGACATCAAAGAGGTTCTCGATGCTGAGAGCGCCCTGGCCAAGCTTTAGCTTCACTTCACAGCTCTTATCAGACATTGAGACTATGTGCAATATGATGCAACTTCGTCCAAAATCGATAGTCCTAAACTGAATCTACTTGTCGTCACTTAATGTAACTATTAACTAAACGAATCTGCAGATTTTTTTAATTCTTGCTAGTTTTTTGTTGAGTATAGAATTATATTTACTACTTTGAATTCATACGAACTCACAAAATTTTACCAATGCCATTCTTGAATTTTTTAACTATTGACTTCATTTTTACTGTGCTCTCAAAGTTTTTTTTCCACAGTTACCCTCTGAATTCGTCTTTGAACTTTTTATTTTGAAATTTAATGAACCCGTTGTATTAAAAAACACTTTTAAATTTCCACAACGTCTGAAGCCATCATTATTTCATACTGAAGTGTACAGTTTCACGGGTGTTAGCGTTTGCATGCATTCTGTTCTCCGGACGTACATTTCTGATCGTTTACATCTGTACGAAACTTTTCTCTCTGAGACAGCGCTGCTCGGGCGGACAGTAGTTATATACCTCATGTACATATTCAAGTTGCAGCAATATTATTTACGTTCGTGGGTTCTTGAATCGTAGTGTGGTCTACCATTTGCTATGTAGGTATTGGTTTGTCTGATCTACTCTTAAAATATCGTTATTCTTGGTGAATTTCAAAAATGGTCTGTGATTTTACTCAAATTTTTATTTGTGTTGAGTTCAAATTGAACTTCTTCTGTGGGTAACTTTCCGTGCAATAAATTTGTTGCTACATGCATGCGTGAAGCTCGTGTGTTTTTTCTGGAGATATTAGCTGTTTGTTAGTTTCGAATTTATATCGGTAGGGCTAAATGCAGAATACATTTTCATTCCAGTTATGCCTGCCCAAGTATATTCTAGTAATTTTCACGAAACTGTAATTTATAATTTACGTACCTATAAATCCACAAATTTAGTTAATTTAGTCTTAACTGTTATTTCATTTTTATATACTAATTCTTATTGTTGAATGTGAAGGCACCTGATGAGGCATAAGTAGGTAGACTTAAGGAAGTCAGTCTCCAAATAATCCGTGCCTTTGATACTTGGAAAGAACTTCAGTGCCTTCATGAGAAGCCGGCGACGTCTTTTCACTGTTCCTCCAACATGATCATGTATCCTGGCAACCGTGCGTCATGTTATGCGTTCTATTATTATTGTGATGGCTGTTCAATTATTTATGCCGTGTTTATATGTTCATTTTATATTCATTAAAACAAATATTTTAGTTTTCATTCTGAGAATACCTGTATCTATGGGGCTTAACTATATTAATGCGTAATAATTTCTGTTAATGTAGTACATACGTAGCTTTCTCGTTACCGAGCTTATTTGATGCTAGTTAATATTTTCAATGTTGACTTTAAGCTGTTATTTCTTAGTCATCTTTTGTTAGGGATTTATTTTAGCTCGTCATCTTTTATAGGGCATTAATTACAAGTTCGTGACTTCTATGTGTGTGGGGTAATCAGGACTCGTTTGCAGCTGATTCTGTGTATGCATCTCCTAATGTCGTCTGCGAGCGTCGTTTATTACAGAAATGCCATTCTTTAATCTAATTTTAACTAAGTTTTATGGGTAAAGGAATTTGTTTTAACCGTGGGAATTAAATTTGCGTGTCGGGAAAATGATCTTTTAACTACTGATTATTATAATACTAGATATATTTATACTTCAACTTTGAGGAATTTGAGTCGAGATTAACTGGAAATATACGACTGGGTTCTAATCAACTCTTCATGAATTCTTATAATTATGAACCGTTGCTACGACTGGCTGACGAATTAAAATTTATATAATGAAGTTGTGCCCAAACTGTGCGTTTTCGTGGAATTTCATGAATCTTGCGTTACACTTAATGAAACGCTAATGTTTGACGGGCAATGAATTTCAACGTTATTGTTTCATACTACTTTGACAAATTATGCATCACTGAGATATGAATAGTAAGCGAGGCTTGCCGGGGAGGAAAGAAGTTTTTTCACAACTACCTTGGCAGTATAAATGCTAAGGTTGGTCGGTTACAACCCAAACACTTACCATGATTCATTAATCATATAAGATCCCGATTATTGTGCAGAGCCTGGCAGTAACATTAATTCATTAAATAAGTCAAAAGTCCATCTACTCTGTAATTCACCGGGCTTTGTCTTAATTTATCGTCTCCCTACCACGAATTATCTATTCTCGCTAACATTCACGGTTATCCATGCCATTGTGTTCCCTCTTTCTTCTTCTCCATCGACATAAAATGTATGAGTGGCAGCCGGCTGCTACCAAGGCCTCTAGCGCTTTGGGTCCCTAGACTCTAAATATAAACTAAAATACACGAATTATATTCTCTGATCAACTTTAGATCAGCTAATCAATCGTGAGTATGAATGAATATGAATACAATTTTTTGTAAAAGTGTGAGCCATTCCATACTGATACCTACCTATGCATATATATCAACTTTATTGGCTGCCGAATAGCCCCGCCGAACCTCAGTTGTAAGTTAAATGCAGCGTTATACTCTGGCCAAGCTCAAGAATTGGAGGAAGTTCTTTTGAAAATCGATGCCACTATGGAATCAAAAATATCGCGACTCGACGTTATTCTTTATTACAGTTGAAGCCGCTGCCTTACTCATTGAAAAATGACGGCAAGTTGATATTTCGACATACCTAACCCCGAGTTCCAGATGAGCATTTTCTCACTTATATAGTTATTCATGATTCTTTGTCTCAATTTTGTTAGTTGAAATTTTGCCTAAGCTATGATTTTTGGTTATTTTGTCCATGTTATGAGAGCTATATAACTTATAATGTGGTGTAGTTCGGCAGAAGTTGTTCCTTAATGCAAGTTTGATTGAAGAGAAGTTTTTCTCTTCAATTTGTTTGTTTCTGTATTGGGTGAATTAGGCTTTTGATAATACTTGAAAATTCAAATATAAGGTTTCCAAGTGACATTTATTGTAATTTACAACATTTCGAATGCAACCATATTAATTATCAACTAGGGGAAGAGTTTTGCCACATTTGAATTGGACATTTTGAAATGACCATAGTACAAACGTGGGGTATTTTGGATCCTGAAAAATCCGGTAGTTTGTAAATTAATAGCTGAATAATTCACCGAATTCAGAAAAATGATAAGGAAATTCTTAATAAGAAATATTCTCTGGTCTTCGATGAAACCTGAATTGAAGAATTATAATGTGATGAATGAATTTATTTTTGTAACAATAAATTGCCGCCACTCGTTTGCTTGAATCGCAAATTCACTAAAAACTCGTGGTTGAACTAATACAAGGTTTACCCACGCGCAGCTGCGCTTTGCGGATGTCATTTGTTATTCCAACTGTGACGTCACCTTCTCCTCAGGGGGGACTTTTGACGTATGTCTCTTCTCGTCAGAAGTCCTTTGGGATTTCGCGCTCCTAGGTGGATTGTTCCTGAGCGCCCCACCGCTAAGCTCGCGGTGTCTGACTGCAGTTCTCAGTTGTGGGGTTAAGTTTTTATGTAGGCAGGATTATTTACATTTCCCTTCTCTGTCTATCTCGTGCGGGCGACCAACGTCCCGTGTAAGCGACTCCTCGTTGAGTGTCTTAATTTCTGTCGCTTTTCATCTGCCCCTCCTTGTCACTTCGTCTCTTGATGCTACCGCTGCTTCTTTCGAGCAGGCTTCAGCGGGCTGGACAATTGAGACCTTCCGCCCCTTGTGGGTGGTGAACAATTTTTGATTGAGAAACATTCGATAACTGAAACCTTCCACCTCTTTGGTGATGTTCATCTTGACTTTCGGTGCGAGATAGCTAAATAGCCGAAGCGTTAGTAAACATTTAGCCACTAAACTAACTGTGACGTCACCTTGGCTCTCGTGACGCCAAATTGATGTGTAACACCGGTTTTGCGAGAAGACTAGTTGCATGCAGTAAATATATTTTCTTGAGCCATTTTGATGAGGTCAATTTTTTTAATGCTTTCAAAAATGACATAAAAACAGTGTGTTGATCTACACTTTATACATTTTGTGCCCACAGTGACGTCAATCTAGAAATGCGCAGAACGGCGAAAAATCGTCATCGCTGTGGGTCAACCTTTTATTAGTTCAACCATGCTGAAAACTTATAAGCAAAGAAAACTCCACAAAAATTCACACTATCTTTACAGAAAACGTTTCGGAGCTTCATCATCAGCAGTTAGAGTATTCTAGAACAGAGATAAATCGGTAGTTACTACAGTCAAGATTACAAAAAAAAAACTAAACGGTAAAACCTATTTATTTACAATTTCAATTGTGTATGAGCTAGAAGTCTAAAACTTTAAAGCTGGATTTAGATTAGGATTCTGCTTTAAAAAATACAGTGTTTCCGATAAACGTATTTTAGAATCATTGTGTAGTTTTAAGCAAATGCTTAGTTTAAATTCAGCCTCTAGCTCATACCCACTTGAAATTGTAAATAGATAGGTTTTACTGCTTGTTTTTTTTTTTCCTATAATCTTGACTTTACTACTGTATCTGTTTTCTAGAATTCTCGAACTGACGATGGAGCTGGACTCCGAAACGTTTCCTATAACGATAGTATGGATTTATGTGGAGTTTTCTTTGCTTTTGAGTTTTTAGTAAACTGCCGCCATCTTAGTGAAACATTATGGTAAGTGGAGAAATTAACGAATTATCTTTTATTGCGTTCCTTACAAATTGGTTTTATTGTCAAGGTCTTTAGTCATGGTTGAACCTTCCATGGGCATATTTCTTCAATGCCGACACTTCTATTCTATTTAGTTCAACCATGGCTTTAGTGTCGCCTTGGTTGAAGTACTAGTTCAACCATGAGTGTCGCTACCAAGGCTAGAAGTGGACGGACTTTCC